GTATATGATTTATGTTATTTTCAGCTTGTTTTAAATATAAAATTCAAATCAAATACTTATTAATGAGCTAAAAGAATTTCATGAAGCAATTTTAACTAAAGAATTTTCAAGCAAATTTATACACTTTGAACAATATTTTTTATATAACAATACTTTATATTTTGATGAATATAAATATTTTTAAATAATTGCAAAGATTAAATTTTCTGTTTGAATTTCGCGCTTTAAATTGTACAAGATATGGACAACATTTATTTTGCTAACTTCAGTCAACTCAAATGTCAAAGAGATTTTTGTGAATTGATATGTGCTCGCGTTAATTAAGAGTTTTTAATTAAATCCTTAATTGGGTTTTGTTAATTTGTACAACAAATTGTTTAATTAAATCTGTAGATCAATATGATATAAAAATATTAGTTAGCCAAAAAAATGGGTATGTATCGAAGTGCTTGGGTGTACCTTGAATAGTTTTATAATTATCTCTTTCAGGGCCTCCATTTTGAATACATTTTATGATTAAACATTTTATTTACAGCGCTAATGTATCCTTTATTTATATATATGCAATTATCAATAGTTTTATAATTATCTCTTTCAGGGCCTCCATTTTGAAAACATTTTATTTACAGCGCCAATGTATCCTTTATTTATATATATGCAATTATCAATAGTATAATTTATATATGTGCTTTTTTGGATTATACTTAAGTGCTCCTCTTCCATACCTGTTTGTTATCGAATTTTAAATTCACAAAAATCTCCAATTCAAGTCGTTTATTGTGTGTTGTGTAAAGACTTTACTCAGACAATTGCAACATGTCGAATAGAATTGTGAAAGACAAAGTTATGCGGTGGTTTTAAAGTAGTGATTTTGTGTCCAGTACTCGAGACTTCTGGCAGATGCTCCAGAGGTGATTCATATATTAGTTTTGTGATCTGCTAGCTGCTGCAGAGGATTTTTAACAATCTTTTTAATTTTTAAACAAACAAGGATTTTTAGATTTTTAAACAAACAAGGATTTTTAACAGTGCGAAGCATGTTTTATACAAAAGGAGTCAAAGAATATATTTCTGATATTATATACAGGTATTTTTCGTACTACATCTAATGCACCTATACTGTTTTAAATATTTAATATTTAGCTTATATATATATATATATATATAAATATATATATATATATATATATATATATATATATGCATTAAGTTTATCTTAATTTTGAATTCAAACAAAAATCAAATAATTATGAAAATCTTTGATGTTCGACACAATATTGTTTGTCATCTTCAGTGAAACTATAACTTGAATACAAATAAATAAAAACATGTTATTTACAATTTATTTTCTGAAAAGAGTTTACTATTACTGATCGAGTTTGTATTACATGCTACTTTTTATGCTTGTAATAATAATATTTCTTATTAATAATGTATTTTATGATTGTTTTTCGTAGTGTTCATATTGCTGGTGATATAAAATTATATCACTGTGCTTTGAGAACTTGTCCTTCCATTATCCGATATCATTGATGCCTGTATATATTTTAGGAAAATATTTTCTGGCTTGTGCATTATTATTATTTTGCATACATATATCTGCTGAAAATATTGTTTATATTATTATATTTGAGTCAATATAATTGTTTTAATAAGGTATACTTTATTAATTTTTAATGCATAAAATACAATTTATCTTTTTTGTTTACTCAACTACAACTATTATGCGAATAAAAGAATTTAAATTAATTTGGCAGACATATGTGTGAAAAACTATGTTCTTATTTAATTTGTCACAGGGAAAACATGTTGATTCAATTTTTTTTTTATTTATACAAGTGCTTTTTATGAATGTTTAAAATCAATATAAAAGAAAAAAGTTTGTACTTCTCGTACATATCAAACTCATTGAAAGTAAATTATATTATTACAATTTCATAAATAGTCAATCAGAAATTCTTTTGTTCTGCAAATAACACCATGAGCTGATTTTGTATGGAATTCGGAAATCTTATATATTAATTTTTTGTTAATAAATTATTAGTTAACTAATACAGCTTTAACATTCCTCCTTAGGCAACTCCTAAATTAATGGTATTTTGTTACAAGTTACAAATTTACTTTATTACGAAGATCCCTTTTATAACACTTCTTGTTATTTATTTTAATCTGCAGAAAAAATATTTAAAATTTACATTTCCAGTATCAAGAATCATGTGTTTTCCCCCTGTAGCGATATTGACTGCATGAACATTTTTATTATTGATAACACGATTGCTGGTTTTGATCAAAACATTTAAAATGTTCAATATGACCTTTTTAAATGCAGCTTTTAAAAGTCTTAGATTGTACTTTATTTAAAATGTATTCAATTATATTGCTGCATAGCTATATTATAGATTTTTATTCTCTTATTGCTAAAAATAATTTTGATCAGAACATGCAATCAAAGTTTTGAAGAGTTGACTTGAATGATTAGACAAAACATAATTTTGTTTACAAGTTTATTATTCGATTCAAGTTATGAAAATTATTTAACTCAGTTTCTAAAGGATTACAGTGAACTTTTTAACAGTTTTGATTTTTTAATTCTCAAGTTTTGGAACATTTTTTAATATTTTATTTTACAAGTTTTGTTGAATTTCTTTTATAGCTTTATTTTTTTCAAGTCAACTACATTTGTTTTAGTCTCGATTAATTGTAAAGGTTTCACATGTTTTATCAAGTCATATCAACAATTTTTATTCGATTAACATTATTTCATCTCATCGATGAATTAAATAATTCCTTAAAATAATTTTTTTTTCTAAGTCCATATTTTCTGAAACCTTTTCGATTAAGACAGACGAGTTAATTTTGCATGCTATATCATCCCAAAGCCAACATTTGAATGAATGAGACCCATATTGAAAATTTCAAAGCGAGAAAATATTTTTGGGCATATTTAAGAATTTTAACTAAGTCCCAGTAATATTTTCTCGTTGTGAAAATTTCCAAGTGGACTTCATTTCATTCGAGTGTTGGCTTTGGGATTTGGTGTGAGGGAACACTAAAAAACATAAAAAAGTTTCAACGCTGAACCGGAGAGTGAAATCGCTAAATAGGACTTAGGGGAGTTTTTTTTTGGCCTCTCCCCCTCTCCCTCTCCCCCTTTTTCTTTTTTCCGCTTTTTTTCACATTTTTTTCCTTTTTTGATGTTTTTTTTTTCTTTTTTTGGTGATGTTTTTTTTGCATGTTGTGGATTTTCGGTAGATTTTTGGATTCGGGATGAATCGTTCGCAATTGTCCGTCCCCCTATGTGTAACCTCTCGCATCATGAACCTCAGGTTGACTATCACTTCGAGTGTTCGTTTCAGGACCTCCGCGTCTGCCAACAGCCAGCCACCAGCACTGCTCTATTTTTTCAGCTTCAGAGTTCGTCGTCGTCGTCTCCAGCTGGATTCGATCCGCCTTACCTTCTGCCTCCAGAGTGATGTCACCGAGTACGCGGTCACCTTAACCACTCGGCTATTTGAATTATTAATACATTAAAGTGTTATATCTATATTCTCATACTGTATTAATATTGAATTTGAATAAAGTATATATCATACACAATCTCTCTTATTCATAATCTGCCCCTTCTCTTTCCCCCGTTCTTCCTCTACCTTCGTCATGTCTCTCTTTATATATCGCACTCTTACAGTCAAGTGCGATCCTTGAGTTTTTTTATTCCCGAAATATTCTAAGTGTGAAGGTCGAAATGCGACACCTGATTTTAACATCCTGAACTAATATTTAATAATTATGAAAAACTACCCATTTGATTTTTTAAGCAACTTCGGGAATTGAACCGAGGAACACTGAGCTACCGTAGTGGTAACTTAACGCTCTCGGCCAATTGGTTATATAGAACTACTCTCAATTTATAAAAATATAAACTATATTTTTAAATAAAATATATAAGTAACGGTTGTAGCAACAGTTGCCATGGTCATTTCACACACGGTAACCGTTCACTATGGTAACTATTGTCACGGCAACCGTTGCTAGCTTGAAATTTTCAGTCCATCAATAGCACACGACGTGCAGTACAGCTAGGAAAATGTTAGTCAGATCCGTATCATTATTCGTACGCCAAAAAAAAATGTATGCGGCGGGAATGTCGCCTGAATGAGCCCCGCAAGGGTGTTCCGTACGCGAGTGTCCCCATAATGCTCGGTTTCTAGATTTTGAAAAAACAAGGAATTTAATTATTAATTGTACAGGCAGTACTGCACCGCGAGAGTTATAAATGGAAAAAAATAACAAAATTAATAAAAACTTTTTAAACTCAAAAAAACAACATTTTTTCTTCAATATTTTAGGTCAAAAATCAATCCAACTCAGAGATCGACGAAGGCTTTGAAATCTGTCGCGATCGCTAGTCGACTGGAGACCCGGTCCATATATATTTATGGATGGATATATATCCATACACTTTTAAACAAAGTTTTAGCCGTTTTATTTTTCAAATTTTCAAAGATTTTTTTAATTTCGAAGAACATTTTAAATTATTTCAACAAAATCATTGGTGGAATGAAAGATACTTTACTTAGTTTTGTAATACACATTAATAATAAATAAATTTGCAAATGAAATTTTTAAATACTACATTCAAAAATAAAATTTCGCTGAGTACAAATCTTGACAATTTTTCATATAGAAACTGTATAATTGAAATTTAATGATTTTTTAACACGAATAATGCATTTTTAATTTAAATGTTTAATTATAAACTTTTCTAAAAACAGTTAAAAATTGTTTTGACAGATTTTATTTACTATATTACATCACATAATTGTAAAATTATCTACTTGCAAATCATTGTATTTAATATAACTAATTTTAAATACAATAGTATTGCACTGAAAAAAAATTATCCATAAGAAACTTGTTTAAAATGAAACATTGGAAACTTTTGAAACAAAAGTAGTGAATCAAAATATTAATTAATTAATACACAAGTTTCCCAAGGGCTAGAAAAACAATATAAACATAAATACTCTGAATATCCAACAGTATTATTAAAATTTATTATTAAAAAAAAATTAATTTACCATGTGTGACAATTACATTAACCGACACTCAAAATCCCCTCTTCGGGGAATGTGTAATAAGGAACTTCTAAATTTAAAGGTGCTGGTCCTTTCCTTATTCTCCCTGAAGCATCATAATGTGATCCATGACATGGGCAATAATATCCGCCAAAGTCTCCGGCGTTCGCAATGGGGACGCATCCTAAATGAGTGCATACACCGATGACGACCAACCACTTGGGGTCTTGTACACGTTCTGAATCTGCTTGGGGGTCTCTTAAGGTGCTTAGAGCGACCTTGTTCTCTGTGTCAACTTCTTGAGCAGTCCTAAATAGAATGAATATGATAATTATCTAATACATCTCTTGTAAATGATAATGTAACATAAATAAAAACAGGAAAAGGTAAAAATTGAGATTTTCAAAAATCGTATTCTTGTTTTAAGCAAACTATATTTACATTGCTTAGCTTTACATTTTATAATTGACTGCATCTTTTTATTATAACATAATATTACAGTTACAAATCACCAACAATTAAATTATGAAATGGTTGAATATTATTTTTAACTCCTCCATTCTGCAACATTCTCAGACAATCTGCAACGTTCTATTAGAATCCACAACATTTTAATACAATCTGCAACAGCCTCATACAATCTGCAACAGCCTCATACAATCTGCAATGTTCTCAGACAACATGCAACAGCCTCAGACAACATGCAACAGCCTCAGACAACATGCAACAGTCCCAAACAATCCGCAACAGTCTCAGACAATCCGCAACAGTCTCAGACAATCCGCAACAGTCTCAGACAGTCTACAGCCTTTTCATGCAATCTGCAAGGTTCTCAGACTGTCTACAGTCTTTTCAGACAATCTGCAACGTTTTCATACAGTCTGCGACGTTCTCATACAGTCTTCGACGTTTTCATACAGTCTGCGACGTTCTCATACAGTCTGCGACGTTCTCATACAGTCTGCGACGTTCTCATACAGTCTGCGACGTTCTCATACAGTCTGCGACGTTCTCATACAATATGCAACAGTCTCATACAATATGCAACAGTCTCATACAATCTGCAACAGTCTCAGACAATCTGCAACGGTCTCAGACAATCTGCAACAGTCTCAGACAATCTGCAACAGTCTCAGACAATCTGCAACAGTCTCAGACAATCTGCAACAGTCTCAGACAATCTGCAACAGTCTCAGACAATCTACAACAGTCTCAGACAACCTGCAACAGTCTCAAATATACAACCTGCAACAGTATCAGACAATCTGCAACGTTTTCAGATAATCTGCAACAGTCTTACACAATCTGCAACAGTTTCACACAATCTGCAACAGTCTCAGACAATCTGCAACAGTCTCAGACAATCTGCAACAGTCTCAGACAATCTGCAACAGTCTCAGACAATCTGCAACAGTCTCAGACAATCTACAACAGTCTCAGACAATCTACAACAGTCTCAAATATACAACCTGCAACAGTATCAGACAATCTGCAACGTTTTCAGATAATCTGCAACAGTTTCACACAATCTGCAACATTTTCAGACAATCTGCAACGTTCTCAGACAATATGCAACGTTCTCAGACAATATGCAACGTTCTCAGACAATATGCAACGTTCTCAGACAGCCTGCAGCCTTTTCAGGCAATCTGCAAAGTTCTCAGACAATCTTCAACGTTCTCAGGCAATCTGCAACGTTCTCATACAATCTGCAACGCTCTCAAACAGTCTACATTCTTTTCAGGCAATCTGCAATTAAATAATGCTACAACGTTTTTAGATAATATGCAATGTTGTCAGATAATCCACAAAAGGTTTTTCTCCATTCGCCCACCCTGGTAGCGTTTAACCCAACCTTGTTGGTATATCACATTAGAAGCTTCACTTCAACAATAATTATTTAATTCACACTTTGTAACATTCCTAAAGAAAAAGATTATAATAAAGAATCAGGCTTGCTAATTTTATGCTTTCTCAATGATTCAAGTCATTCTGAGTTGTTTGAAAATTTTTGTGTGAGTCAATTTTTTACATTTCGTAGTCGTTTTCTCATGAATGGTTGCACGAATTTTTGAAATTTAAAAACCATTTAATGTATCCCAATAGAAACTAAGTTTTTTGTGAATTGTAAAGTTCATGCTTCTTGAATTTTCAAAATCGGTTCAGTATTTTTGGCAAAAATATCTAATGCAAATCCTTATTGAATTACATGAAATAGCTTTCGAGATATTGAAAACGATAAAGTCGTTTTTGAAGAAATATGGACAAAATATCAAAATTTAACTCACGATTCAGAATGACTTAAAATGTCGAGCCAACATAAAATTAGCAAATGTGATTCTCTAATTTCTCTGTTGGTTATCTAATGAATTATATTAGTTAGAAGTCTAATAATAAAAATATCTAAATATCTTTAGATAAAAAATTAAATAGTCTGTATATCCATTTCCTTATACCTGTGTCTAATAAACAAAGGCTTTCCTCTCCATTTGAAAGTCACCGACTTTCCTTCTGGTATTTCAGACAATTTAACTTCAATCTTAGCCAATGCAAGTACATCAGCCGAAGCAGCCATTGATGTCACAAATTGTGTCACTACTGATTTGGCAGCATAGGCTCCAACGACACCTGCACCTGGTAATCACAATTTATTAGTAACATTATCTCTTTACCTTTCTTGTTTTGATTATTGTAAATGGCTGATAGAAAGAAAATAAGTTTTATTTGAAGATGCTTACTGCCGGCCAAAAGATATGTGAAGCTTTTCCTGTTATCAGCGCTGGCTCTGTTTTGGCTGGTGGGATCCTTTGTTGCATCTCGACGATATTCAGTAAAATCTGGTACTCGTAAATCGGTGTGTGCAAGACGGGCAACTTGAGTGTTTACTGAAAAAGACAAAGGAATTTTAAATATTTATTACATACATGCATATATATATATATATATATATATATATATATATATGTGTGTGTGTGTGTGTGTGTGTAATAGAGCACCTCAGTTGATTCCAATTTATATAGATTTGAAGGTCAAATTCAAAGTATAGCACCGAGTGGATGAATTAATAATGAAGAAGTTATGAGTAACAAGTTACATGAACTTCCCGATTTGTGTAAATAATCGACTTAATTCATGATAGATAAATTAATTTATGAGTAGTTAAAAGTATTCAAAGTGAATTTATTACACATTATTGAAAATCGAACACGTCAACCCGGTCGGAGTATTTTTTAAAAGCAAATTTTCAAAAATCAATAATTTTAATAATTGAGCCAGTTTTTTGTAGGACTTTAATTGTTTAGTATGTTCATTAAGGCCAACCATTTATCATTATACCAGGTAAATCATCTAATTTTAATTTCAACAAATGTCAAAAGAACTACTCATTTTCTCAAACTTTGATGAATTTTTAAAATTAAACTACTTGTCGTAAGGCCATAATATTTCAGTAAGTTCTATAAGACTTAATTTTTTTTTCAACAGTTAATTACAAGAAAACGGCTCGGTAGATTTTCACCTAAAACTAATCAGTACCATTCCCAACTAATATCTTTCGAACAGTTTTTGATTTTTTAAAATCGGTTCGGTAGGATGAGCTTAAATGTGGACAAAAAGTTTAACACTTTTTTCCAAATTACAAAGAAACGGCTCGGCCGATTGTCGCACAAAACTGAGAAACGATAATCCTCATCGAGATAAATCAAATGGTTTTTAAATTTCTGAAATCAGTTCAGGCGTTTTTGAGCAAACGTCGATGAAAGTTCTAATTTTGACAAATGCCAAAAAGACCATACTAATTTTTGCAAACTTTGACGAATTTTCAGAGCTAAACGAGTTGTCGTAGGGCCGTTATATTTTAGTATTATCTAGAAGACTATGGTTTCTACCGTCAAAAAAATAATAAAAATCGACGAAAAAAAATTTTTTTAACACCTTATTACAAGAAAACGGCCCGGCCGATCTCTACCAAAAACTAATCAGGTCGATTCCCAATATCTTTCGAACGATTTTTGAATTTTCAAAATCGATTCAGAATTGCAGGCTAAAACGTGGACGAAAAACTTTTCACTTTTCTGCTATTTACGAAGAAACGTCTTGGCCGATCGTAGCACAAAACTGACAAACAATAGTCCTCATCGAGATACATCGAATGGTTTTTAAATTTTTGAAACCGGTCCAGCCGTTTTTGAGAAAACGTCGATTTACGGCAAAAAATCTGTACACATACACACACACACACACACACACACACACACGCACATCCTTTTTCCAAATTTGGTCTCATTCGATTCAGAATGGCTTGAAACGTCGAGAAAACAAAATTAGCGAATCGGATTTTTTGTTGAAAACATAAACTTCTCCTTGGGGAGTTAAAAAAAGCTGCAAAAGAGGTAAAGATAAAACAGCTAAATAAAAAGAGGGCACGATACTGATGAGGAATCAACTGAAGCAAGAGCTTCTGATATCAAAGGAAATTCTCACAAGAATCAGGAAAAGACTGCTGATAGTTCAAAAGACACAGATGCTCCTTTAGATGGAGCACCTCACTCAAATCGAATTTAGCTCTATTTCAAAATAAAACACTGAGTGGAAAAACTAAAAATAAAAAAAATTACAAGTCAAAAGAGCAGCAAAAGAGGTAAAATTAAAACAGCTAAAACAAGAGTTATTGATGAGGAATCAGCTAAAGCAAGTGCTTCTGATATCAAAGTAATACCTTACAAAAAACATAAAATAACTCCTGATAGTTAGAAAAACACAGATGCTCTCTTGAATGGAGCACCTCACTCCATATACGATTTAAATCTAGCTAGATTTGAAGGTAAAATTCAAGATAAAGCACTTAGTGAAAGAACTAAAAATAACGATCTTACAAGTAAAAAGAGCTGCAAAAGGGGTAAAAAAAGAGGGCACGTTACTGATGAGAAATCAAATGAAGCGAGAGCTTCTGATACCAAAACAATTCCTTACAAAGAACATAAAAAAATTTCTGATAGTCGGAAAGACACAAATGTTCCTTTAGATGGAGCACCTCAATCGATTGAAATTTAGCTAGATTTGAATGTGAAATTTAAGATAAAGCTCCGAGTATAAATGAAGAAATTAAAAACCAAAAAACTGCAAAAGTGGAAAAGATAAAACAGCTAATAAAAACAAGGACATGTTATTGTTCAGGAATCAACTGAAGGGTGTATTTCTGATAGTAAAGGAAGACCTCACAAAAAACCTAAAAAGTCTCCTGATAGTCCGAGCGAAAAAACTAAAAATAAAGATATGACAAGTAAAAAAGGTTTGCAAAAGAGGTAAAGATAAAATAGCTAAGAAACAAAAGGGGCACAATACTGATGAAATGAGTACTTCTGATAGTAAAAAAAGACCACACAAGAAACCTAAAAAGGCTCCTGATGTGTGAAAGACACAGATGCTCCCACGATTAAACCAAAAAAAAGAAGAAAAATGATTTTGCCCAAAATGTACTAAGGATAGAAAGCAATAATAGCTTATCTAAATTTACAGCCAAGGATGAGATACTTCATGTGGCCATAGAGCAAAATAACCTCTTCTTTATCTCAACTTGTAGTCCAACATATTGGCCTTCTGACCCTACTAAAGTTCCAGACCTTTTAGATTTTTTATTGTGAGAGGTATTGATCATTTTAATCTTGATTGAAATTTATTCATAACTTATTAATATTACTGTTAATATTCATTGATAGTTATTTAAATTACATATATGTTCATTGATATTTATAAAAGGTTAAACGAAATAAGTATGTGATAACTAAACCACTCTTTGTATGCATATAGAGTTAAACAAACTCTATCAATACTAGAAACTTCAATGCTTCACTATTTACATTGCTTAGTTTACATTGCAATACATATAATTCATTCCTTGTCCATTAAAGCCTCCTGCATTAATTTATTCTATTTTATTTATTCATAAACAAGCCTTATTCAATAATAATATTATTTCAGGCTCTTGTCAGGCTTATTTCTAATTAATAGTTAAAGAAAAATAAAATAGAATTATAAATTAAAGGGGGCAGCACAACATTCGCTTGTGAAATAAAATGAACTAAAATTAAGCATTTAAAAATTGAAATATTATGTCCGTCATCAGCTTCTCCACAATAAAGTCTAATCAATATCCAGTCAAGCCCAAATTTCATGAAAAGACTTCTACTCTCAAGTATATACTAGTCTGATCTCAAAATTTAAATTTTACCATTTTTAAACATTCGAGAAACTTAAAAAAGTGGTAAGAAATTGATTTATTTTTTTTAAAGTCACCATTTTGTCAAAAATTCATGTTTTAGCCTAATCCTGATATTGAGCACAGCGACTTCATTCTAGATTAATAATCTTATCTTTTTATCATTCAGATCCTTTTATTATTTCAAAGACTGCTAATTGTTAAAAATAAGTAAGTATTTTTTGTCTTATTTTTTTTCTGTATTCTTGTAACATTGGTAATAAAATTATAAAAATATGATAGTATATAAATTGATTACTTTCTTTTTATGATGATTTAAAAATGGCCTAAAATTCATGTCTTTACACTAGAATACCCTCTTAAGGCTAAAATTCCCAATGAATATTAAGTTTCGATTTAATGAAAATTGAGATTTATAAATAAACTCCATTAATAAATGCTATTTTGGAATCAGAAATACTATAAAAATTTGAAGCTGTCAACCAAGTTGGACAAGGCATTGTTTTGCCTTGAAAAAGAGTCTTCAACAATTTAAAACTTCATCAATATGCATAAAAACAGATTACATAACCTTGTTAGACACATCTAAAACTGAAAACAAAACTATAAAACAACCAGAACACATTATGCAACCCTTTGTATATCATTTAACATCTACAGTTATTACAAATAAACATTTTATTACCTCTCAAGTATTTTTGCAAACAAAAGTCAAATACCACAAGTGTATTATTCTATTTATTCACCTTTTTCAGGAATGGCAGCAGTAACTGGTTTGATTCCTGTTGCCACGGCTTTTAGAAAAGGGGCTCCATTGCCCGCTCTTGCGATTACATTAATCATTGTAAAAGAAAATAAATAATTTCGATTTAGCCAGAATCTAATTTTGGTTTTTGACAGCTGCACGTTTAAGTAACACTGACGTCACCATAGAGACATAGGGACCAGTTGAGGAGACTACAGTAGTGTTGCCAACTTTATTATAGATCATAGATATGCCCATAGATAAATTAGCATAGATACACCTGAAAAAAATCTGTAGAAAACTGTAGATACCATAGATAAACAAGTATAATACCATCAAATACCATCAAATTGAAAAATTGTAAATCTACAACTGTATCTTTTTATCTTTGAACGATAGTAATAAATGAACTAGTGGTGTATGGCACCGTGCCTTAAGGCAAATTGCTGAAACTTCCCGTGCCGTAATGAAATATTCGAGAAATTTTAAATGTTAACAATTTTTATTACAAATACTGTAACTTTCATTATTTTTGCTATCTTATTGTTATATCTGAGCAAATCAAATGTAAATCATAAATCAATTTATCTCCAGAACATTAACAATCGTCATTTCATTTTGAATTCAATTTCAAAAAAAAAAATAGTCGCCTAATTTACACAAAATTGAAAAAGTGCTCCCTAAAGTCTTCTAAATGCATTCGCCAATAATTCTGTGCGACATTTTCACTTATACTGTGCTTAGCTTGGCGGCATTTTTACATTTTTCAATAGTTTTCACAAAATTGGAAAAGTCTCCAGTACAGTCTAAACGCACTTGGGTCAACATTTGTACCAGAGTGGCGCTTAGACTGTGCTTAGCCTGGGTAATTTTTTGAATTTTTAATCCAAAATTACAAAAATATTTAATAAAAAATAAAAAAAAATGATATTTTTTTTTCTCAAAAGCAATTATCTTGTCAATACAAGCATAAAGTTTTTTAGATCATTCAAATCGGACGCGTAGTTCTCTCAAAAACTGCCATTTTTGCACATTTAGCTCTGCATCTCCAAAACCACTGGACCTGCCTTTGCCAAAAATTAATCACTGCTTCTCCCCATCATTACGAATTGAATGTTTTTTGGATCATTCAAATCCGATGCTCCGATCTCTCAAAAACTCGATTTCTATTTTCTGCACTTTTTGCTCCGTATCTCAGGAACAGCTGGACCTGCCTTTACCAAAAACGAATCAGCACATCTCCCTATCAATAGGAATCGATTGTTTTTTAAACCATTCAAATCGGTTGATCCGTGCGCCCGAAAACGTGGACGAAAGAATGCGGACATACAAAACACACACACATCCATTTTTTCTGAGGTATGCCAAAATGTTCAGATACCTTCAAAACGCCGAGAAATGCAAAAATTTTCATTATCGATTTTCGTCCCATTACTATAACTACCCTACGGGAAGTTAAATATACTTCAAAGAGAAATTTAAACGGCAAATTGCAAAATGTTATTGGAAACCAAGCGCTATAGAGATATACATAGATAAACAAGTATGAGAAGACATATATATATTGAGCTAAATAAAATTAGTTTTTTTTTGAAGCAAATATTACTATATACTTTAAGAATTTGACCAGCTATTTTTGAAAAAAAAAAACATTTATAACAGCTCAATAGCTTTTTATAACAGCTCAATAGTTGTTTCTATTCGTAATTGTTAAAAATATAACATTTTTAATATTTTTTGATAAATAAAAATAATCCCAAACATCTATAAGTAAAGCTTTTTATCATAATAGTCATCATTTTGTGTTATTATAATAACATCGTTTTTTTCTAAGTTATAAAAATGTTTAGAAACCTTCAAAACGTAAAGATATGCAATAAAAATTATATTATTTATCTATGATCACAATCATATATTACAATAACTTACCCTAAGGAAATTTTATAAAATTATTTATTGTATTTTTTTTGTTTAACTATCAACTAGTTTAAATTTTTCGTCGTTTTTGCATATCTTTACGTTTTGAAGTTTCTAAACATTTTAATACCTCAGATAAAATCGATGTGTGTGTGTGTGCATGGGTGTATGTATATATAAATACATTTTTTCTTCGACGTTTTCGAAAGCACAAATCAACCGATTTGAATGATTCAAAAGAAATACGATTTCTATTATTAAGGAGACGTGCTGATAGATTTTTGGCAAAGACAGATTCAGCCGTCTCGGAGACTTTGGCAAAAACAGTGCAAAAAGTGCAGAAAATGAAAACTCGGTTTTTCCGAAATTCAAAAATCCGATTAGAATAATTCAATAAAATATTCGGTTCGTATTGATGGGAAAGCACGCTGATTAGTTTTCTGCAAAGTGCAAAAAACAGCAGTTATTATGACAATGAATCATCTCTCAAAGAAAACATCAAAATCATTCAAAATTTGGCATATCTCGATGTTTGTTGATATTAGTAGTGCGATCGTAGGTCCAAATTTAGCATATCTCGATGTTTGTTGATATGTGTTGCATTGTGATGTGCCTTATTTGTTTTTTACAGTTTGGATTTGTAGACAATGTTTTATTGTGTTGTGGCTGATTTGGGTTTTACAGTATAGTTACAAAATATCAAATTGGACCTTTGAAATTGGCCCTAATCTATATTACCAATATGTGCTTCTGATCCAGTTACACCATTTAAACGTTCGCATTTCCAATAAGTTTGGATTATACAATGACTAAAATAAGCACAAGAACAGAAAATCACTATTTAAGTAAAAAACAATTAAAAAATCTATTTTGCAATATGTTGCTTCCGCTAGTTATTAGTGGTTACATACTCTTATCTATGAGTGGTTACTTAAGACTTATTGAAATGAAAATGTTAAAAATTAAACAGATCCATAGTAGCTGTTATAATTCAAGAGTTGATTCACGCGCACACATACATTTTACCGTAGCTTTCAATATCGTAATAAAATCTGAATACCGGTATTCGATATTTGAAAAATGTAATACCGAGATCCCGGTATTAATACCAGTATTATCAACAAAAAATTTACTAGTCATATTTTTATTTACCGCAGTTGTTTTATTGACATATTATCATTATTATTGTTCTAAAATAAGTACATCTTAATTATTTTATTACATAGAGAATAGGAGTAGATAAATACAAAACAACGTGCAAGTAAACAATTATATTAACTTGTTTTTTATATACTCTCTTTTATTATTTTTGAACTGCAATCAGAACCTATTAGTTCTATAAGCTTATTTGGCTGATTTGACTTAATACTAAATACTGCTTAACGAATGGCAATCCTATCAGTTGTCACATCTCTGTATGGTATATTATTATTACAATTTCTGTAATAGGGCGAGTATTATATTAACTTGTATCCTTATCTATGACTTGTATGTTACATTTTACATTTAATAGGCTCGTATGAAATTATATATATATTTAAGGGAAAAAAACAAAATCAATTAATAACTTATATATTATTTATTAAAATATGCTTTTAAAAAATATAAACAATCAATTGTTCAATCTTCAAGCGAGGACCAAATTTTAGTACAAATATAACAAGCCGAAAACCTTTTTCTTATTCTACACTTGTTGGCACAATTGTCATAAAGAAATAATCCGAGTACATTATAAGTCGATAGGAATTAGTACTTGCAAGTGTTAGTATAGTGAATTTATGTTATTTTAATTATATATCACTCGATGATTTGACTTGTAAATTTTCGTTATAATGAAATAATAAATAAATACGAATGATTGATAAAAATCATTGATAACGATTTAGATATGAGGACAATGCACGTGGACAACTAATAATTTTTATAAAGTCCATTCATTAGGTCGTATATAGAGCTCTGAACAATTTCATGATGACCATCTCATGAGGAGGCGTCCATTAATCACGTGAGCGAGTTTTGAGGATTTTTAGACCCCCCCTCCCCCTTGGTGATATTTGTTGATATTCAAAATTATCCCCCTTCCTCACCAAACATCACATGCATAGATAAATAAGCTCACATGTATTTCTAAGATCACATGTATTTTTAGTTACGTGAAAAAACTGTAATTTTTTTTAGTTTTTTTAAAATGTTCGAACTTTTTTATAAAAAATAGTAAAAAAAATAAATACACGTGATATCTTGCTATATCCCTCCCTTCCCCTTGTGATATTTCGTGATTTTTTGTCAAACCCCCCCTTCCCCTAAAAACCTCACGTGATTAATGGACGCCCCCTGAACTCCAATGTTATTTTTTAGGCCAAGCCATAAACATTGCATGGTGAACTCGTTTCCCATCGCCTGCACACATTTGCTATATGCTCCTCTCCGGTTCTGCCTCCAATTTTTATTACAAAGAGTTGCTAAAACAATAATGAAAAAAAGATAAGTGTGTACATGCATATATATATATATATATATATATATATATATATATATATCTTCTATATATATAAAAATAAGTCGGGTTTTCCTTCCTGACGAAATAACTCCAGAACGCACGAACCGATTTCGACAATTTTGCATTCGTTGGAAAGGTCTCGGGCTCCGCAAGGTTTATAGCAAAGAGAATTAGTGGTGCATGACATCGTGCCCTAATGCAAATTGCTGGAACTTCACGCACCGTACTTAAAAATTCGAGTAATGAAAATAATCAACAATTGTTTTAAATAATTTCAAAAAGATTATCTACATATATTATATATAAAAATAAGTCGGGTTTTTCTTCCTGTCGATATAGCTCCAGAACGCACAAACCGATTTCAACAATTTTGCATTCGTTGGAAAGTTCTCGGGCTCCGCAAGGTTTAGAAAGAAAATTAGTTGTGCATGGCATCGTGCTTTAATGCAAGATGCTGGAACTTCACGCACTGTAATTAAAAATTCGAGTAATGACGTTAGTGAGAATTATCAGAGTTATGCTTGGTTAAGTCAACGAGCAATTCTTGCCGCAAAGAATAATGATGTACACGCACTGAATTTCACCATTCAATCAAAAATTGCTGGCGATTTGGTGACATACCAATGATTCCGACTGGTCTTCTGTTTGACTTCAAACAATTGCAATTTCCAGTTCGCCTTGCGTTTGCAATAACAAGTCGCAAGGCCAAACACTTAGTGTTTGCGGGATAAATTTCAAATAGATTACTTAGAAAATCATTGTTTTTCACATGGGCAGTTATACGTTGCCTATTCACGAGTTGGAAAACCATCCGCTTTGTTTGTGTTAATTAGTATATTGTCTAGGGTGTTAATGTCAGACCAAAAAACAAAAAATTTGGTTTACCAAAGAGCACTTCAATGAAACGGATAATTTGCGAATTCACTTTCATTTACTTAGAGAAGTTCATTTTTGTAATCAAAATAAACTCATTACTAAAATATAAATAAAATCAAATTTTTCCTTTTCAAATATAAGACAAACAAAAAATTTCTTCATCTTTCTTATGAAACCATCTGGTCATACTTCTGGTTATACTTGTTTATCTATGCATCTGGTGGCGAAACGGAGTTCGTCGGGTTTGCTAGTATATATATATTACATACTAAACATATACACAGATACATAAATATATACTATATTTATACTAGAGGAGACTTACAAATTCTGTGCAAAATTCTCTGTCATCTTTCAGACGCGATTCTAAAGAATTCAACTCGTCGATCGTTTTCAGTGACAACATGAGGTCTATGGTGCCATTCATGGCATCAACACATAGATAAAGAAGAGTATGTATCCACCTCCGGAGGGTAGGTGTATTCTGGCTCGTGAGCGTAGGTGCATTCGGGCTCGGGAGCGCTGGATGTCTTCAAAAATTTACCTCGGAAGTCAAACCTGCTTTGCAAAATATAATTTAATACATCATGATTCGGAACATTTACATGAAATTACTGCATTTTACATTTACCTCTAACTTTTGTTCCTAAATTGGATTCTAGGTACTGTAAGTTTTGAATCCAGTATCCACACAATCTGCTTCATATAGAGCAATATCTACATAGTAATGATTATATCATTATTTTAACATAATCGAATGTAATTTATGATTTATAATTTTACTCCTTTATTACCTTCATCATAGGATGTATATGATGCCTCTGATGTCCACACAACTTCCTTCTTCTTCCTTTTACCCCGGCCCAACTCTTCATTGGAAGTGTATTCTGCATCTCTAGAGCAAATATTTAGATGAAGCAGCCCTTAGGACTTCAATGCCAAAATAAAAGTTATTCCTCACGATAGAATGCCTTAAAAACTATTGTTTCTCGCGTCCAAGTTTTTCTATCTATGGACGCTTTTCTCTTTGCCATAGATGTAATATCTTTGTACCTAGGTGGCTACCTAACTTCTTGGATGGACCCATCATCGTTAATGATGAGCCATACCTTGAGCACATCTCAGGGGCTGCCAACCATTATTACGACTGCATAATGCTTGATAATACTATATGCAATACCAAAATTTAATGAATATAAGAAAAAATCAAAATATCTGTACAGGACGTCACCTCACAATGCATACAATAGTGGTTAACTCTAATTTCGGCCAAAATTTAACACGTGTTTGGGTACATGATTTTACACAAATAATCAAACTTTGAAAGAAAGCCTTCCAAAATCGTGCAACTTAACCACTTATTCACTGAGATGACAAAAATCGAAATATCTGTACAGGATGACGTCACTTCACAATGCAATAAGAGGTCAAGTCTAATTTCGGCTAAAATTTAGATTATGATGTTAACTAATTATCTGAAAATAGTTATTGCACTGCAAAATCATTAATGCAAAACAAATATTAATAAAGTACTTCATATAAAACTTGAACAATTAATTACAAACACGTGTTTGCATACACGATTTTACACGAAGTATTAAACTTTGAAATCGATCCTTTAAATATCGTGTAACTCAACCACTCATTATTCACTGGGATTATTTTATTTATTTATTTATTTATTTATTTGATATAATTCATAGATACTGTATCTCAGTCAGACAATTGTTCTGGTATGAGAGATCACAGCAATTATAACAAAAATAGAATCTTAATTTTATGTGACAGACTTACATTAAGACATATATTTTTACTTATTACTATTGTACACACATATATACACACAGAGAACGCTTGCGTACATACATACATACTTATACTTAATTGTAATTAATATTTTTACAAATCAGAAGTAATATAGTATTTAAAATAGGATTTTAACTCATTTGTTTCATTTGTCTCTTAAGATTACATAATTAATTCACATAATTATGTAATTTTTCAATTTGATTTTAAAACTGTTTAGGTCCGTCATTGTTTTTAGTTCGTTCGGTAGTTTGTTGTAAAGGCTGCTGGCACTTCTCAGAGGACTTGCAAGACCTTTACTCGATTTAGCATGTTTCATGTGAAAGTTTCGGTTTTGTCTCGTTTGATGGTCGTGTATATCCTGGTTTGTCTCTATTGCGGTGCAAGTTTTGATTTTGTTATTTTTTATTTTGAATATTAGTATACATTTTTCTATTTCTATTGTTTTTGTGTAGTGGTATGTTCTTAGTCTTTTGTAGAAGTTCTTTTGTCGGGGTGAGGTAGGGATAATTGTAAGTTGATTTTATTGCTTTATTCATCATTCTTTGTAGTGTCTTTATATTTTTATTTGCGCACACTGATAGCTTCACGTAGTTCAGATTTAGTCTGGCGCTGCAGTCACACACATTAGAATCTTAAGAATTTGAAAAGACGCGCCACGATTAATGTCTCATCTTTTTAGAAATATACTCTCTTTCTATGCTTCAAATGTCAAATAATAAATGTAAAAGTTTTGAAAATATTTATTGCATTGAAAAGAATTATTGGTAAAACTAGACTATTTTTTATTTTTTTTATGAAATTTTTTAAAAATGTCGGAAGAAACAATTATGTCTATGAATGATCAGACAATTAAAATTGAACCACCAGAATATTCACCAGACGACATTAAACTTGAAATGGAGGATGAATTTGATGATCCTGATGTTACTGTTAAATCTGAATCTTGTTCTGAAGATGATGATACGTGTTTAGAAAGATTCATGAATTCCGAGGTTACAATTGAAGAAGAAGTCAAACAGGAGTTAGTCGAGACTTCAACTTATGAATGTCACATTTGCAATAAAACTTTTACAGAAACACATTTAAAAGAGCATATGATCGAACATATGCCTAATAATAGCAAAGAAAGTTCTTTCGAATGCGAAATCTGTTACAAGACTTTCAATCAATTACGTAATGTGAAAAAGCACATGCTCATTCACAGTGGTGAGCGCCCTTATGAATGCAATATATGCAACAAGACATTCACAAAATCAAGTAGTCTGAAAAGTCACATGCTGATACACAGTGGAGTACGTCCCCATGAATGCAATATATGCAACAAGAAATTCACAAAATCAAATGATCTGAAACGTCACATGCTTATACACAGTGGAGTACGTCCCCATGAATGCAATATATGCAATAAGACATTCACAAAATCAAGTAATCTGAAAAGTCACATGCTTATTCACAGTGGAGTACGTCCTCATGAATGCAATATATGCAAAAAAACATTTGCGCAATTGTGCAATCTGAAAAGTCACATGATGATACATAGTGGAGTACGTCCCCACGAATGCAATATATGCAATAAGACATTTGCAGAATTAAGTAATCTGAAACGTCACATGATCATTCACACTGGATTAAGCCCTCATGAATGCAATGTATGCAATAAGACATTCACATATTTAAGTGATCTAAAATGTCACATGCGCATTCACAGTGGTGAGCGCCCTTATGAATGCAATATATGCAACAAGACATTCACGCAATCAAGTAATCTGAAAAGTCACATGCTGATACACAGTGGTGAGCGTCCCCATGAATGCAATAAATGCAAAAAGACATTCACAGAAAGAGGTAATCTTAAACGTCACATGCTGACACACAGTGGAGTACGTCCTCATGAATGCATTACATGCAAAAAAACATTTACTGAAAAAGGTCATCTGAAAAGGCACATGCTGATTCATAAACAAGAGCATCCTGATAAATGAAGTATATAATATGGAATTTACTCAATCAAGGATTTGAAGAGACACATGGCACTTCATAGTTAGAAGTGTGGTGATCAATGAAACATACGCATATTTGTTTACTTGAATTCAAATATTGTAAAATTTTCTTGCATGTAATGGAATGTATAAATAGTATGAAATATACAGTAAACACTACATAATATCAATATTATTTCATAATTTTTCATTCTTATTTTAATTTTTATGAATTACGTATTATTAATGAGGATTAGTAACCATTGGTTTCAAGTTCGAATACAAATACTAGTCTTAAACACCACTGTGGATTTTTCGAAAAACCAAAAAAAATTTTTTAGGCTTAAAATATACTTTGAACCTTTTATAATATGAGGAAAAATATTTCATACCTAAAACTTTATTTTTTTACTTGTAATTATGAGCCTTTTTTGCATGCGCGTTGGGCTGCTCCGAGTTGACACGTTCAAATGCATTAACAAACTAGTTGTTTTGGTATTTAGTCTTGAGGCAAGTTACATGGACTTCCCGATATGTTTAAATAATCGACTTAATCAATAAAAAATAAATTAATTTATGAGTGATTAAAAGTATTCCTAGTGGATTTATTACACATAATTGAAAACGAACGAACTCTTTGACTCGGAGTATTTTCTAAAAGCAAATTTTCAAAAATCAATAATTTTTATAATTGAACCAGTTTCCAAGACTTTAATGGTTTATTATGTTCAAGACCAAGTACTCTATCATTATTTATTTATTTATTTATTTATTTATTTAAATATATAGCCCACAGATTTCTCCAAGAGGACTCAAAAATATAATTATTTGACATAATGAATAACAATTAAAATATACACAAAATTACAATATATAGTTAGTAACATAAAATGCTAAGATAAAATTTCATATAATGCAGAATGTAACAATAATATTTATAAACAGAAAATAATGAGATATTTGAAAGAAAATAAAAAGATTAACTTGTGCAGATGGAGATTATTTGATTAGGTGATGTGTTGTGAATGTCTATTTCATTATTAATTAAGTTAAAGTTAGAGGACATTAGTAAAATTGGCGAATTTAAGAGAGAATTAGATTTAGGGGTGGGATAATTGAAAAATAATTGTGAACGCGAAGATAGCCTTGGAACATTAAAGGATAGTTGATTGAGAATAGGAGGACAGTCTATAGAATTATTACAAAGCTTAAATAAGAACATAATTATACCAAGTAAATAGTCTAATTTTAATTTTAACAAATGTCAAAAGAACTACTTGTTTTCTCAAATTTTGATGAAGTTTTAAAATCAAACTATTTGTCGTAAGGCCGTAATATTTCAGTAAGTTCTATAAGACAATCTATAAGCACGATTCCCAACCAATATCTTTCGAACTGTTTTTGAATTTTCAAAATCGATTCAGAATTGCGGGCTAAAACGTAGACGAAAAATTTTTTACTTTTCTGCGATTTAAAAAGACACGGCTTGGCCGATCGTCGCACAAAGTTGACAAACAATGGTCCTCATCGAGATGCATCGAGTGGCTTTTAAATTTTTGAAATCGGTACAGCCGTTTTTGAGAAAACTTCGATTTACGGCAAAAAATCTGTTCACACACACACACACATACACACAAACACATACTTTTTTCCAAATTTGGTCTCATTCGATTCAGAATGGCTTGAAACGTCGAGAAAACATAAAATTAGCAATTCGGATTTTTTATGAAAACAAACTTCGGGAAGTTAAAAATTATAAAAATAAAAAGGCATCTGTATGTTGCTGGGATATCATATTAATAGTAAAAAGTATTAAACTGATATTTTTTTATTTTTTCTTATCTATAATTTATTTCAAAACTTTAAAAGCGTTTTTCTCGAAACACGATTTTACAACGCGGTACGCAAAATAACTACAACAATTTGAACTTTTTTCATTAGAATTTTTTACAGTATATTTAAAATCAGACTTTTAAGTGCTCATCATAGAAGATCTTCTATATGTTAATTAGTTCATCAATTATTAACAAATTACTATCCGTTTTTCTTCGTTGAAACTCAACGATTTTGAATAAAGTGCTCGCCAAAAGAACAAAAATCGATATTTTTTAAATCCGCTATGTTGGGCACTTATAAATGTTATTTTAAATATACTATTAAAAATTCGAATTAAAAAAATTAAAATTGTTGTAGTTATTTTGCGTACCGCGGAGCGCCTCCAATTTGACGCGGCTAGCCGAAATGGCTGTGGTACTGCCGTTTTTATTTTTTTTTCTACAATTATATTTTATTTTGTTACAAATGAATGAAAAAAATGGCAAAAACATACGTTTTTTTAGGCTGCTACAGTGGTGTAACCCCTTAATTTATAAAAATTAAAATATAAATAAGAAGTTATAAAACAAGATAGATATTATGTAGTGTCTGTATATTTCATACTATTTATACATTTCATTACATGCAAGAAAATTTCACAATATTTAAATTTAAGTAAATAAATATATTATAATAATAACTTATAATTCATTGATCTTCACCACGCCTCTAACTATGAAGTGGCATGTGTCTCTTCAAATCGTTTGATTGAGTAAATTCCTTATTACATACTTCACATTTACAGGAATGCTCTCATTTATGAATCAGCATATGTTTTTTCAAATAACGTAATTGTGTAAATTTCTTATTGCATATATTGCATTCATGAGTGCGTAATCCATTGTGCATCAACATGTGGCCTTTCAGATTACGTAATTCTGCAAATGTCTTATTGCATATATTGCATTCATGGGGACGTACTCCACTGTGTATAAGCATGTGACGTTTCAGATCATTTGATTTTGTGTATGCCTTGTTGCATATATTGCATTCATGTGGGCGTACTCCACTGTGTATAAGTATGTGACGTTTCAGATCATTTGATTTTGTGAATGTCTTGTTGCATATATTGCATTCATAAGGGCGCTCACCGCTGTGAATGCGCATGTGGTATTTTAGATCACGTAAAAGTGTGAATGTCTTGTTGCATATATTGCATTCATGAGGACGTACTCCACTATGTATCAGCATGTGATGCTTCAGATTATTTGATTTTGTGAATGTCTTTTTGCATGTATTGCATTCATAAGGACGTACTCCACTGTGTAACAGCATGTGACTCTTCAGACCACCTGATTGCGTGAATGTTTTTTTGCATATATTGCACTCATGGGGACGTACTCCACTGTGTATCAGCATGTGACATTTCAAATTACTTGATTTGGTGAATGTCTTATTGCATATATCGCATTCATGGGGGCGCTCGCCACTATGAAAGCGCATGTGAGATTTTAGATTACATAAAAATGTGAATGTCTTGTTGCATATATTGCATTCATGTGGGCGTACTCCACTATGTATCAGCATGTGATGTTTCAGAACATTTGATTTTGTGAAGGTCTTTTTGCACGTACTGCATTCATGGGCGCGCTCACCACTGTGAATGAGCTTGTGCCGTTGCAGAACCCTTAATCGATCAAAAGCCTTGTAACAGATTTCGCATTTGAAAGGATTTTCTTTGCTATGACTAAGCATATGATCGGCCATATGCTCTTTTAAATGATCTGATCCTACAAATGATCTATAGCAAATATCACATTCATAAGTTGATTTCTCGACTAACTCCTGCTTGACTTCTTCTTCAATTTTCACCTCGGAATTCATAAATCTTTCTAAACATGTATCATCATCTTCCGAACACGATTCAGATTTAACAGTAACATCAGGATCATCAAATACATCCTCCATTTTGAGTTTAATGTCTTCTGGTGAATATTCAGGTGGTTCAATTTTAATTTTTTGATCATTCATAGACATAATTGTTTCCTCCGACATTTTTAAATATTTTCACTGCTTATACTCACAAAACATTTACGAAAATAGTTGTGTGCTAAATAATAGTCCAGTTTTATCAATATGATAAATAATTTCAACTTTTACATTTATTATTTGACATTTGAAGCATAGAGTTCATTTGTAGCAATAGAGAAGTGTTGCCAAGTCCACCATAGAGAAAATTTGTAGATAGGCCAGAAAAAAACTGTAGAAAACTGTAGACATAGATAAAAGAAGAGTATAGATAGTATAGATCAAGGATGAGCAACCCGCGGCCCGCGGGCCGCATGCGGCCCACCGGATGTTTTTCTGCGGCCCGCCAAGCATTTCTCAACAACAGATTATTTTTCTAGATATTTTATCGAATACGGCTGTAAAGGCTAATTTTGTCATCAGTCAAACAAACCGTTGTTTGAAGAAATAGCATTTCCTGATAAACTAAATATTAAATTATTTAAATATTAGTTTAACAAGCCTTAAATATTGCAAGAAAAATTGAGAACTTGTCCGAGAACATAGCAACAACGCATTTCTAAATTTAAAATAATTAAATAAGTAAATCTTATAGAGGGTTAAAATCGTAAATCTCAAGACTTCCTGGCAAAATAGATCGTGAATATGGCGATTTTCAATACTAATGTACGTTAGCTCAATAGTTATGCAATGCTTAAAGGAGTATACAACTCAAATGGCGAAATACAATTGTTTTTGGATATGAAATAATAATTATAGTCCTTTCGGCATTTTGGTAATAAAGAATAATATCTTTTGCAGAATCTTGTTTTTCACTTTTCATATTCAAAAAAAGAAAATGTGAACAAATTTTAATTGTGATTCCAAATGTTCATAGCTGACAAGACAGCTGTTTCATGTAAATGTTTTCTTCGTCATTTAACATGCAAACTAATATAGATTTAAAAATGCATTTTTTCTGTAAAAATCGAATTTTTTTATAAATCTTATGTCAGCCCTGAGAAATTTTCGCTTTTGAAAAAAAAAAACGCTAATCAAATTATGATAAATTCTCTTTTTGAAAGTACGTATGTGCACGAACAATTACACACGTCCACAAAAGAAAAGTTGCTGGATAATAACTAATTCATTCAAAAAAATCTAGATTGAAAATTGTGCCAGTTTTTAAATGTTTTTCAATATTTTGTGCCCCAATTTTGACTATAAATTTATCTTCAGTCCAGGCAACTCTTTTTGTAGACCTGTGTTAATTTCAACCAAAAAGTTAATAAAAAATCACCACCTATCACCTTGTACCATTTTTTTTTGGCAATTTTGTAATTTTATATAGATTTAAAAATGCATTTTTTCTGTAAAAATCGAATTTTTTTTTATAAATCTTATGTCAGCCCTGAGAAATTTTCGCTTTTGAAAAAAAAAACGCTAATCAAATTATGATAAATTCTCTTTTTGAAAGTACGTATGTGCACGAACAATTACACACGTCCACAAAAGAAAAGTTGCTGGATAATAACTAATTCATTCAAAAAAATCTAGATTGAAAATTGTGCCAGTTTTTAAATGTTTTTCAATATTTTGTGCCCCAATTTTGACTATAAATTTATCTTCAGTCCAGGCAACTCTTTTTGTAGACCTGTGTTAATTTCAACCAAAAAGTTAATAAAAAATCACCACCTATCACCTTGTACCATTTTTTTTTGGCAATTTTGTAACTTTCTCCAATTACATTATTCCCGCGCTCAGTCAATAAATCTTTTGACTTAATTTTAGATCAGACTTCTGTCAGAGTTTATGAAAAAGCTTCAATTTATTTAAAAAAAAAAAACAATTTATTTTTATCATTTCTTGTATGACCGTAAAATTTTTTTAAATTTTTGTTTTTTATTTTATTTTTTTTATGCGAAATGAAAAAGTACACACAACTCCAAATTTTTATTATTTTATAATAGTCATTTTAGTAGCCCAATCATTTTTTATGTAGCTCGGTAATCGATCAATTAACTATTATCGCCTTTTTTGTGAACGTTTTTAATTGAAATTCGATCAAGATTTTTCTGAACTTATAAGAAAGCTTAAATTTATCCGCTCTATCCGCTGCAACATTTTAAAAATGGCAACAAAATGGTTACCTCCGATAAAACTAACTGAATTGCAGGCTTATCCAATTGTACAAATATTTCTCGATGTGCATAAGAAGTACATAGTTTTTGGATGTCTCGCAAAAGGAGCTATTTCAGCAAAAAAATGGAATTTTTTTCACAGTATTACATAATTACAATGTGGATGTTAGTATTTTAGCGTTGCAGTGGGTAAATTATCAATATAATAATATTTATACATTCAGAATTAGTCAGTCATTTCTTATACTAATGATTTTCTAAAAATATTTTCCTTAGCTAAACGTTTGCCGGGTCAGCTAGTATATATATAAATTAAGTGCGGCCCGCCAAAAAATTTGAAAATTTAAATTGGCCCGTGGATTAAAAAGGTTGCTCGCCCTGAAAACCTTTAAATCTACAGCTTTATCATTAAATGATGGTAATACTATATAGTTATAAAAGAATATTTATAGCAACTTGTTATGATCCCTAACGGTTTTGTTATTATTCATTCATCCCGAACATCGTTACGTTATCTATCAAAAAGCGATAATTCTTGAATATAGTTTTCCATCGTTCTCTTCTTTTATCTATGGCTTACACAATATATATGTTACGGTAAATGTGCACTCTCGGTGAATGTGCACATTCACCGGTGAATGTGCACATTCCCCAGAACGCTAGGTGAATGTGGCGTGTTCTCAAACAATCAAATTAAAACAATGGTGTACGTGCGTACTTGGATCGGTCTTATGAACATCTCGCGTATTTGACGCATGCGCAATAAAGACTATGCGCGAAATACGTCAAGCATGGTGTAATGGTGATAAATGATTAATAACTAATAACATTCTGTTGAAGATTTGTTCATTTTGATCAAGATATATAATAGCAGTTGAATAGTAAAGTAGTGAATCGTGAACAGTGATAATTGAATAGTTAATAGTAAATAGTGAATAGATATTAGCAAATAGGGAATCATTATTAGTAAATAGTGAATTAAGAATAGTTAAATAGGTAATAGTTAATGGTTAAATAGTTAAAAATTATTAATTAAATAGTTAATAGTTCATAGTTAATAGTTAATAAATAAATTGTTAATTGATCAATAGTAATAAATAATGGGTATTAATATGCATATGACTAAAATAATTAATATAAATAAATATAAATATAAATATAAATATAAATAGAAATATAAATAAAATATAAAAATAAAGAAAAGAGAAATATAAATAGAAATATAAATAGAAATAAAATAAATATAAATAGAAATATAAATAAAATAAAAGATAAAAGAAAGAATATAAATATAGAAAAGATAAATATAAATAAAATATAAATATAAATATAAATATAAATATAAATATAAATATAAATATAAATATAAATATAAATATAAATATAAATATAAATATAAATATAAATATAAATATAAACTAGTGGGGTGGGTGGCATCGTGCCTTAAGGCAAATTGCTCGAACTTCCCGTACCGTAACGAAATGTTCGAGGAATATTGAATGTTTTCAAATAGATCATTATAAATATTGTAACATTGTCTAATATTTATAAGAATTATATAAACTGAATTGCAAAGTTGAAATTATTTGTTTAAAGTATATTAGAACTATAGTCAGAATTAAAAATAAAATCTGAATTATTTTCGATATACAAAAAATTAAAAAAAAAAAAAAAAAAAAAAATGGTACAAATTTTTTTTTTCCACAATCAATTATTTTGTTAAGACAAGCAGAAAGTTTTTTGAATCAGTTGAATCGGACGCTTAGTTCTCTCAAAAACTGCTATTTTTTGTACATTTAGCTCTGTATCTCCGAAATAGTTGGGCCTGCCTTTGCAAAAAACTAATAACCCCTTCTCCCAATCATTACTAATTGAATGTTTTTTAGATCATTCAAATCGGATACTCCGTTCTCTCAAAAATACGATTTCTATTTTCTGCACTCTTTGCTCCGTATCTCCGAAACGGCTGGACCTGCCTTTGCCAAAAACTAATCAGCTCTTTTCCCTATCAATAGGAATCGGATGTTTTTTGAACCATTCAAATCGGTTGATCCGTGCGCCCTAAAACGTGACTGGAAATTTGTATCCACACATACATACACACACACACACACACACACACACACACACACACATCCATTTTTTCTGAGGTATGCCAAAACGTTCAGAAACCTTCAAAACGTCGAGAAATGTAAAAATTTTCAATTCCGATTTTCGGCCCATTACAATAACTTACCCTACGGGAAGTTAAAAATATAAATATAAATATAAATATAACTATAAATATAAATATATGAATTAGTATTTCACTCGCACGTGCACACGCGCGCGAGTTGAACTCACATTCGCCAAATGAGCCGGTAAATGTGCACATTCACCGGTGAATGTGCACATTCATTGAAATATACACATTTACCGTAACATATATATACTTCATTAATTATTTATCATTTCATGTTATTATTAATAAAGATAGATTTGAATTAAACTTAAACTAGTTGAGTATTAATTAAACGAAACAAAATGCAATGAATAATTTTATTAACTTCCCGAAAGAGAAGTTTATGTTTCCATAAAAAAATTCGTTTCGCAAATTTTATGTTTTCTCGAAATTTGGAAAAAGTATGTGTGTGTGTGTGCGTGTGATTTTTTGCCGTAAATCGACGTTTTCTCAAAAACGGCTGAACTGATTTTAAACATTTAAAAGCCATTTGATGTATCTCGTTAAGGACTAGCGTTTATCAACTTTGCGCGACGATCATCTAAGCCGTTTCTTTGTAAAGCGCAGAAAAGTGAAAAAATTTTCGTCCACGTTTTAGCTCGCAATTCTGAATCGATTTTGAAAATTCAAAATCCGTTCGAAAGATATTGGTTGGGAATCGTGCTGATTAGTTTTTGGTAAAGATCGGCCGGACCGTTTTCTTGTAATAAAGTTTAAAAAAAAAATCGGCGATTTTTATAATTTTTTTTGACGGTAGATATCATAGTCTTCTAGATCATACTAAAATATTACCGCCCTACGACAACTCGTTTAGCTTTAAGAATTCGTCAAAGTTTGCAAAAATTGGTATCGTTTTTTTGGAATTTGTCAAAATTAGACATCATCGACCTTGGCTCAAAAACGCCTGAACCGATTGCAGAAATTTAAAAGCCATTCGATGTAGCTCAATGAGCCCTATAGTTTGTCAGTTTTGTGAGACGATCTGCCGAGCCGTTTCTTTGTAATTTGAGCTCCACATTTAAGCTCATTCTACCGAATAGATTTTAAAAAATCAAAAACTGTTCGAAAGATATTAGCTGGAAATGATACTGGTTAGATTTAGGTGAAAATCTATCGAGCCGTTTTCTTGTTGAAAAAAAAATTTAAGCCGATTTTTATGAAACTTTCTTTGGCGATGTATATCATGGTTTTATAGAGCTTACTGAAATATTACGGCCTCACGACAAGTCGTTTGATTCTAAAAAATCATCAAAGTTTGAGAAAATGAGTAGTTTTGTTGACGTTTGTTAAAATTAAAATTAGACGACTTACTTTGTATAATTTTAGAGTACTTGGTATTAATAAATTATTAAAGTCCTACGGAAACTGGTTCAAATATAAAAATCAAAAATTTGCTTTTAGAGATACTCCGAGTTAACGTGTTCGTTCGTTTTCAATTATGTCTAATAAATTCACTCGGAATTTATTTGTTTATTATTGATTAAGTCGATTATTTACACAAATCGGTAAGTTCATGTAACTTGCCTCAAAGCTAAATACCAATACCAACTAGTTTAAAATATTGATAATTTAGATTATATATAATATTCGTAAATGTTGAAAATATGACTATTTGATAACAATATGCTTTAGAACGCATTAACAAATCAGTTGGTTTTCAACTTTAATTTTAACAATCTATTTTTTGTGTCGACAAATCGGTTTAGATTGACTTACAGATACAAGAAATGACTTACAGATAGAAAAAAAATCAGTGATCAATAAATATTGATTAATGATTAATAACAATTGTTTTAAGTATTTTCAAATAGATATTTATAAATATTTTATATTTCAGGAAGAATCCATTAATCACGTGAGGTTCTGAGGGGGAGGGAGGTTAGACAAAAAATCACGAAATATCACGTGGCGAGGGAGGGTATAGTAAGATATCACGTGTATTTATTTTTTAACTGTTTTTTTTTTAAATTCAAATATTTTCAAAAAAAATTCAAAATTTTTACAGTTTTATCACTTTAACTGAAAATACACGTGATGTTTGGTGGGGGAAGGCGGTTAATTTTGAAAATCCTCAAAAACTCGCTCACGTAAAGAAAGCAGAAACATATTCGCTAAGGGGAACTCAAATTGACTGAAGCGCTCGTAGTGGTCATTTTGAGCACTACGGAACGCTATTATCATAGATAAAAGAAGAGTTTCTGCTCTCTCTATTGCTATAAATGAACTCTATGCTTCAAATGCCAAATAAATGTAAAAGTTGAATTTATTAAATTTATCCACATTGACTAAAATTATTGATGAATCTAGTCTATTATTTAGCACACAACTATTTTCGTAAATTTTTTGTGAGTATAAGCAGTGAAAATATTTAAAAATGTCGAAGGAAACAATTATGTCTGTGAATGATCAGACAATTTAAATTGAACCACCAGAATATTCACCAGAAGACATTAAACTCGAAATGGAGGATGAATTTGATGATTCTGATGTTATTGTTAAATCTGAATGGTGTTCTGAAGATGATGATACGTGTTTAGAAAGATTCATGTATTCCGAGGTTACAATTGAAGAAGAAGTCAAACATGAGTTAGTCGAGACATCAACTTATGAATGTGATATTTGCAGTAGATCATTCGCAGAAACACATCATTTAAAAGAGCATATGATCGAACATATGCCTAATAATACTAAAGAAAATCCTTTCAAATCCTTTCAAATGCGAATCTGTTGCAAGGCTTTTGATCGATTAAGTGTTCTGAAAAGGCACATGCTCATTCACAGTAGTGAGCGTCCCCATGAATGCAATATATGCAAAAAGACTTTCACAGAAAGAGGTAATCTGAAACGTCACATGCTAATGCATAGTGGAGTACGTCCTCATGAATGCAACATATGCAAAAAAACATTCACGCAATCAGGCAATATGAAAAGTCACATGCTGATGCATAGTGGTGTACGTCCCCATGAATGCAATATATGCAAAAAGACATTCACAAAATCAAATAATCTGAAACGTCACATGCTGTTACATAGTCGAGTACTCACTCATAAATGTAATATTTGCAATAAGAAATTTACACAATCTGGTCATCTTAAAAAACACATGCTGATTCATAATGAGAACATTCCTGTAAATGTGAAGTATGTAATAAGGAATTTACTTAATCAAATTTTCGAAGAGGCACATGGCACTTTATAGTCAAAAGTGTGGTGAAGATCAATGAAATATAAGTAATTATTATATTTATTTACTTCAATTTAACTATTGTAAAACTTTCTTGCATGTATTATAAATGTATAAATTATATGAAATACACAGTAAACACTACATAATATCTATCTTGTTTTATAATTAACTTCCCGTCCCGTAGGGCAAGTTATAGTAATCGCAAAAAAATCGAAAATGAAAATTTTTGCATTTCTCGACGTTTCAAAGGTTTCTGAATATTTTGGCATACCTTAAAAAAAATGGATGTATGTGTGTGTGTGTGTGTGTATGTATGTGCGGATACAAATTTTCGTCGACGATTTCGGGAACACCGATCAACCGATTTGAATAATTCAAAAAACATTCGATTCGTATTGATAAGGAGACGTGCTGATTAGTTTTTGGCGAAGACAGGTCTAACCGTTCCGAAGATACGGGGCAAAAAGTGCCGAAAACAGAAACTCAGATTTTAAGAGAACGGAGCGTCCGATTTTAATAATTCAAAAAACATTTTACTTATATTGACAAGGTGAAGAACCGATCAAATTTTCATAAAGGCAGGTCTAGCGGTTTCGGAGATCTAATGAAAAAAGTAAAAAAAAATGCCATTTGGCGGTCAAAAATGATCATTAGACATATGCACATCAAATTATCAGATATTTTATAGAGATTTTAACAATAAGTATAAATTTTGTTTACATTCCTGTGGGTTCCGTACCAATGTTTACGCGTTAGACGTCAACGCGGCGCTTACGCGGTTTGATATTTTGTCTTTATGCAGTTAAAGCAGTACGATTGCTTTGAAAAAAAGTTTAGATCTTTCAAAATATGTCAAAATAAAGAAAACATTTTTTTTTTCAAAAAAAAGTAAATTTTTGTCTAATTGTTTGTCAAAAATCTTATTTTTTCGAAGTAAATTTTTTTCAAAAATGTTAATCGTTTTTAAAAAAATAATAATTTTTGGTACGGGAAGTTCCAGCAGTTTGCCTTAAGGCACGATGCCTTAATTGCCTTAAGACAGAATTCCACTTACAGCTAGTTTCTTATTCATATTTTAATTTTTATAAATCAAGTATTATTATTTATTAATGAAGATTAGCAACCATTAGTTTCAGGTTCAAATACAAATACCAATCCTGGTCAGCAGGCAGCTCACATACGTCAAACGTCAAATGGTTTTGACTGAAATTTAATAGGGTGTTTTAGATGAATATTATTTAATTGTAGTGAGTAGTTTCATTTGTACACAAAAACATTATTGAACGTATCGAAAGTATTATTAGACACTCAAAATATAATTTTTTTTGAAATGTTATTACTTTTACACTCTTTTTTGGATAACGTATTTATTTCAAATTCTGTACTCTAAAAGCACTCATTTGTATAATTTTATACTCATTGAATATTTTTTAGATTATATTTTCTTTAGGTTATTTAAATTAAGATCCTAAATTTAGTATCGATCGAAGAGAACATTTTGTCGAATAATTTATTTCGAGTTATATCAAACAACACAAAACATAACTTTGGAACGCGCACATGTAAAAATTTCATTGCACAGTGCACACAAAATTACGAGATCTTCTGAAAAGAAATATTATACAATTGGTAGTATTAAAATGAGTTTACCAGAATAATAATTCACTTTGTTTATATTTTTTGAGGCTTGACAAATCTCCTACAATTTTGAAGGAATTCCTTCCAACTGCCACGAAGAGTTTTTTATAAAATACGAAAAGCTCAATATAACATAAAAAAACAATATTTTCATCACAGCAACATGATGCCTGTAAATGAAGAAATTCAACAAAAAACAGAATTATTATTATATTTATATTATCATTATTATTATATTATTATTATCTTATTATTTCTGATATTGTTATTTTGTTATATTTATTATCATCTTTCACTTATTGTTTTTATTCTACTTTATTGTTTTTCTAGTATTATTTTTATAATTCAGAAATTTTACTTATTACCCAGTAAACAAAATTACATCTAAACAATATGGATACAATATCGCGCCCGCGATGTGAGATATCGCCACGCCGCAGTCGTTTTTGTCGCATAGAACGTTAAACGAGCGCCAAGTGATGTTACATTTGCGATTTTTGTCGCGACTTTTTTAACACGTTTAATCGCATGTTGAACTGATGTTGACAAAACATGAAAACAACGTAATTGTGTACATTAATTCAATATTCTTTTCTGTACACACACAGGCATGAATTTTTATTTTTAATTTATTAATAATAGACTATTTAATGACTATTTATTCAAGAATCATTTATTTATTCATAGATAATCACATATAAAAAAATGTTACAAATTAGCATCAATATTTGCAATTAAAGTTAAACTTATAAATGTTATAAATAGAAATTTATTACACAAATCCAAGACTCTACAATTTAATATATATATATATATATATATATATATATATATATATATACATATATATGTGTGTATTTTAATCAATCCTAATGTAAAGGAAACACATTCATTTAAGAAATTATTTATACATGAAACAGATTAGTTTTTCAACTTTACATTAAAATTGATTAATTTCTTCATAGCGATTGGTTATATATAGTGCATGTCATGTCTCAACCATTATTTCCTCGCCTCTTCATTATACACAAAACGCTTGCAAACATTGAGGGTATTATCGTCTTTATTCTGAAGAGTTTCTAAAACAGTTTATATATAGAAGTCAAGTCATAATCCTCTGTCATTTTTCCACTGACTGTAATTCATCGATCGATTTGATTTGAACGATTGTCAAATGCATTATTTTTAATCCTAGCTAACAGATCTGAAACATCATCTTGCATCTGATCTTCTGAAATTCATTAGATTTCTGCTTTCAGCATAATATTCGGTTGACAATACAGCGGCAATGTTTTTTTTAACCTCTTCATTGAGAATTCCATTCATGTCATTCATAATGCTACAGAAATATAAAATCCAGTAAACATTAATAATAATTAAATATTATTATAAATAACTATATGATGTACTTACGAGTTCATTTTTTTTAACTGTTAAGGGTTTCAAACTACAAACTTATTAAACAACTTTATAAAACACGCTTTGATGTTTCTTTAATGTCAGCATGAGGCACCATCTTGAATTTTATTGTTAGAGAGTCCTACCTATAGATGTCCTTGTCATCCTATTAGTGTTGACACTCACTAGGCAGCAAAATTCATTAACTCACAGCATTTACATGAATCACAATGTTATTATTTTCATATTTGTTTCAACAATTTAAATTAAAGTTATATATTTTGTTCACTATTAAATTAAAATTATGATTAATATACATTTGTAGAAAAAAAAACTTTGGTTAATTTCTATTTAAACATCCCGCCATCATGTCTTCAAAATCAAACTTCATAAACACACTTCTGGCAATACGAAACAAAAGTTTAAATATAAAAGTTTTGTACATAATTGAATTTATTAATTAACTTTTTTCATTCACTTTTATCTGCAAACTTTTATTTCCTAGTATTTTGCACGCATTTTAATATAATACAAATTTTTAATATAATTTTTAAATATACATAAAAATTATATTGAAAATTTATAAAAATTCTATATAATTTCCATACCAAAAACTAAAAATTTAAAGATTCTACAGCTCCATTGTTTACTTCAGCATTTATCTATATTAACTATATAGTTAGGTGTTGAACTTATAACTTGTTTTATAAAACAATGTGTAATGTGCATCCACTGAGATTTAGATAAAATGTTAAAACAATATTTGTTTTGTGCTCACAAATGTGATGTGCATTGAGATTTAGATAAAATGTTAAAACAATATTTGTTTTGTGCTCACAAATGCGATGTGCATTGAGATTTAGATAAAACATCTAAACAACATGATATTTTGTCACATCGCGGACATCGCGACGGGATTTTTTTCAAATGTTGTCAGCAACATCGCGTGTTTACTATAATATAACTATAGTTATATTATAATAATAATTATTATTATTTGCTTTTGTTTTATAATTAAATTAACATACTACTTTTGTGCTCTTTTTAATAAATTTATATAATTGTTCATTTTTGTTACAAGATGTTAATTATTTAGCAGTTGTAACAAATATAGTAATTAAAAAAAAGTGCTGACCCATTCTAACAGTTATTTTTTAATGCATTTTAATGTTAAAACGTGTCGGCCATTTTGTGGTACAGAGACATTTTTCTGTATTTTTTAAAATAACTGCTAAATTACTTATTATAACTAAATACAGTCTTTAACAAAAGTTGTAGCTGAATAAATTTTTAAAAAACATTTTTTTTCAACAAAAAATGTAGTAAAATTCTTGCTTATATTTTTACCCAGTAAGCACGTGATGTTGCAGCAATATTCTATATAAATCCCTGCCAACATCCCCGCTGTGACAATAAACCAATGTGGTGTAGATGTTCGTTTAAAATTGCAATTGTGACATACCGATCGGTCGTTTTTTATGAAGGCTATCAAAAGCTATATTTATATTGATAGAGAACCGTTACATCAAATTATTTTGTGTTTTAGAAATTTTAATAATAATTATACATTTTGTTAACATTTTTAAAGTTTATACGTTATACTGCGGCGCGGCGCTTACGCGCTTCGGTATTTTTTCTCTGAATGCGTAGCATTATTGCTTTGAAAAAAATTCAAAATTTTCAAAAAAATTTCGAGACAAAAAAATTTAAATTTTTCAAAAAAGTCATATTTTTTTAAAAAATCTCAAGTCTTATTTTTTCAAAATTTTTATTTAAAAATAAAATCAAATAAAAATCGAAATTACGTACTAATTATTTTGATCTCTGTTAAAATTATTTCAATTTAATAAATGTTCAAGTATAAATAAATAAAAAAAAAAAAAGTATTGCCCGAAATGCTTCTACTGATGGCGCGAGGTTTGAATAGAAATGCTCAAAAATAATTTTTTATCCGCAAATATATATTTTTAATAATCTAATAATAAACAAAATATTTATCAAAAGATGCTTAGTTCAAATTCTATATGTTGTTTGGAATAAATATCAAATATTAAATGAATAACTTGTGAATTTTGTGAATTTGTTATGTGGTAACACTACTGTGGTACATGAACTGTAGGATTATCTAGGATTAAAGATGGCCGGTTGTCAACAAAGAGTGTTTGTGCGTTATTTGTTAGTAAACTTAGCATTGAAATAAAATGGAAAAGTAAGTACATCATATATATATATAACTGTATTAATTAAACTATATTTAATTTATTTAACGTTTACTTAACTTGATATTCGTATGGTATTATGAAAGATACATGAACGATACATCAAATGAAGAGGTTAGAAAAAGCACGCCGCTGTATTGTCATAGAAAAATGATACTGAAGATAGAAATCCAGTCAATTTTACAAGATCAAACACATGATGATATTTGGGATCGTTTCGTGAAGATTGATGGTTCAAAATAATGCATTCGGAGTTAATCCCGCTTGTTAAATTTGTGGATGAATTACAGTCAGTAAAGATGGGGATTTGTCTTTTGAATTTGTAAGTCTCTTGTACTATATATATATATATATATATATATATATATATATATATATAACATTTCCTAATAGATACATATTATGTTCATTCTTTTAGAAAATCTTCACGAATAATGAAGTGCGATGAAACGGTAGTGAGATGAGACAAGTCATATACTTTTTCGCCCTAGGAGCATGATGACAGATCTAAGAAGTTATTTTAGTTAAGACAATATTTGAAGAGCACAATTGTAAATAGGTCAAGACTAGAGAATGATATAGGGTCAGAAATTATATCTGTTCCATGTACAGTAGAAACTCGTTTATCTGGATTTCGGTTATGCAAACTACAAACCACGAGCAATTTATATATACATGCAAATATTCAACATGTACATACCTACAAGTTGAATTTTTGCATGATTAATGCTGCCGTTTAGTATATGTATGTGATGTAATCTAAGAAAATATATATGTACATTCGAAAAAAAGTGTTTCTTAATAAAACACTATTTTTGTTGTTGTCTATGTATGTACTTGTTATTTTTAATAAATACACAACATATTCTTAATACATTCGATTATCCGGATTTTTGTTTAGCCAAATGCCTATTGACAACAGTTAGTCCTGTAAATCGAGTTTCTACTGTATAAGTAATTCCTCAAATATGTACAAAATTTGTTATACATAAGATTACACATCATTGTTATTATATATATATATATATATAATATATATATATATATATATATATTGAGTAATGTGGATCATAATAAATATAAATTATTATTTTATTTATAATTGTAAATTAGGATTTATGTTATTTATGATTGTTTTAAAATAGAATTATCTGTAAACGTTTGTCATACCAATTTGTAATCTTTCAATAATATGTAATTATTATAAATAAATAAATGCTTTTCTAATAAATTGTCTATTATTCTGTAAAAAAAATTATGCTTGCATTTATACTAAAATTGGATATTGCTAAAATGTCGTACGGTGGTCGCGAGTGAGATATCGCGATGCGATGTTGATTCAAGTGTAGAATCCATCTCAATAACACATTCGTGACTACGACGCGGCGATGTCTCATGTCGTCGGCGCGACATCAGTGCGACTATTGCACTGATGTCGCGTGCTTACTGGGTATTTA